TCCCAGGCCCCAAGAAGACTTTCCACATCAAGCAGATGTTCACCTGCACATCTGCCAATGTGGTATACTGCATCCGCTGTACCCGTTGTGGCCTCCTCTACATCGGGGAAACCAAGTGTAGGCTCGGGGACCGCTTTGCGGAACACCTACGCTCGGTTCGCAATAAACAACTGCACCTCCCAGTCGCGAACCATTTCAACTCCCCCTCCCATTCCTCAGACGACATGTCCATCCTGGGCCTCCTGCAGTGCCACAACGATGCCACCCGAAGGTTGTAGGAACAGCAACTCATATTCCGCTTGGGAACCCTGCAGCCCAATGGTATCAATGTGGATTTCACAAGCTTCAAAATCTCCCCTCCCCCTACCGCATCCCAAAACCAGTCCAGCTCGTCCCCGCCTCCCTAACCTGTCCTTCCTCCCACCTATCCACTCCTCCCACCTCAAGCCGCACCCCCATCTCCTACCTACTAACCTCATCCCGCCCGCTTGACCTGTCCGTCCTCCCTGGACTGACCTATCCCCTCCCTAACTCCCCACTTACACTCACCTTTACTGGCTCCATCCCCGCCTCTTCGACCTGTCTGTTTCCTCTCCACCTATCTTCTCCTCTATCCATCTTCTATCCGCCTCTCCTCGCTCCCTATTTATTTCAGAACCCCCTTCCCCTTCCCCATTTCTGAAGAAGGGTCTAGGCCCAAAACGTCAGCCTTCCTGCTCCTATGCTGCTGCTTGGCCTGCTGTGTTCATCCAGCTCTGCACCTTGTTGTCTAGGAATGTGTTTGTACTATTTTTCCATCCCCGACCAACCAAGCTTAAAAATGTTGTTAATATCCTAATATTAACAGTCAGCAAAGCAGTTACTCTGGCATGACAAGTTGTTAATATGTAACATATGCATTGCAGAAAAAATATTCCAGCCCTTCAACTGGACTGATTTAAAAATAATAGTTGGCTATACTTAAAAAAGATCTGTAGTCCATGACTGTGGAATAATAATAGTTAATAGCAAAAGACATATCACTACATATAAATGATCAACAAAACTAAAGATGATCCTAAAAAAGAAAATCAACATAATGCAGGCACTGAGGAAAAACTTAGAATTAGTTTTACAAGGAGGAATACTCAATAGAAGATTAATGGAAAGCAATTAAGATAATGGATAATGAAGTGCAAGGCACTTCTAAAATCACTAACCAGTTATCCTGGAAAATTAGGAATTCCTGGGTAAACCCTGTCATACAAGGCCACACATACTTTCATACACAACAATGGCAGGAAATGAAAATTTGACCTAAAAACAGCTTCTTCAGTGCAATGCAAATACATTTTTTTTAAAAGCAATAACCATTTAACTGCTGCACAACCAAACCAAACCAAAATCAAATTTTCACCAAATTTTCTAAAAACCGAAGTACATTTATAATAACTCTGTTTACTCAAGTAAAAGGCATGCAGAAATATTTGAAACTACTTACAGTATGCTGTACAAATTCAATACACATTGTGAAATATTATTAGAGAGGAATAAGCAATGAGTAACAAAAAGATTACAAGCCTGCATTTCATTAGACGGATTACCTAGATACGGTTGTGTTGCTTTTGCCAGAGCCAGTAGAATTCATACTGTTTCCCATTTGATAAAACTGCTTCCGTTTTTCCTTGGCTGATGTCCCATGGCTACAAGGCAGAAGTTTTTGATTAGAAAAACCGAGATATTCTCTTCAGTGAGCAAATTAACAAATGCATTTTTCCTGAAATGTATACTAACCTTGCTGCCGACATCGAGTCACTGAGAGTGTGAAGATGTTTTGCTGTAGGTGAAAAGTGCATGTTTGAATGATAAAATTTACTGGCCTTCGGAAAGTCTACAAGTTAACAAACAGCTGGGATAGATGCAGATATTTAACTTCACAAGCTAGAAACAATGGCTGCTTGCATATTTGCTAGTTGTCAGGAGAGTCAATAAACACAAATATGGCTGCTTCTTCACAATACCGGCCATAAGCACTTTTATTTCGTGCTCATCTCCACTACATAGCTTAACTGGTATCCTTCTCACCTCAATAAATCTACTGTCAATGCTGCAGGTCTGGAAATAAAAACAGAAACGGCTGGAGAAACACAACAGGTTTGGCAGCATCAGTGAGAGAGAAGCAGAGTTAATGTTTCGAGTCTGATGACTTCAGAACTAACCCTCTTCTCACTGTTTATTCAGTTCTGCATATTCTTCAGTAGATCAAAGCTTACTTTTTTGAACAACCTGGCAACATAACACTATGCAAAGACAACTGGCACATAGGTAAATTTTACTCTGTGCAGACTTGTTAATCAATTTAGCAAACCTCTGCAGATGATTTAGAAGGACAGATTTGTGGCTTTGCACACGCAGTGGAAAGCCACAGTTTCCAAGAGTGCTTCTGGGAAATTAGAAGGCAGGCTGCGCACTATGACTGTAAAATTGAGTAAGGCATTCACACCAAATTACATAAGATGCTCCTGCAGTAACACAAAGGTGGAGCAGTAACCTTATAACATCCAAATAATTCTTATTTTAAAATAAAAGCATGACGATGGCCTCCTTCTGTGCCAAAACAAGTCTATGATACTACAGCAAGATAAATAAGAAGACACATTATTTGGAAATAAGATATCTAAGCTTGGTACAGAGCAATAACAACTAATAAGCAATAACTTGGCAAAATAGCAAGAGCAACTAATAAGGTTATAAAAAACAAACCAAGCGCTAGATTTTATCTCTAGAGGTATAGGATTGACAAGTAGTGATATTGTGCTAATTTTATTTTATCAAAACTAGTTAAACTATGCTTGGAGTAATGTATACAGCTCTTGACACTACATTATAAAATGGGTATGGAGACAATGGGAAGAGTGAAAAGAAAAAGTTTGTAACTATCAGGAAATTATAAACAGACTGAGGGTCTTGCCTGTTCAAGACAGAGCGCTCAGGGTGAACAGGTAGAAGTCTTTAAAAATACGAACAATGTATTTGGAGTATATACAATGAGCTCACTTTTGGGAAAGAGCAAATGTCACAAGATGATCAGCAACAAACCAAATGAAGAAATCAAAAGAAACTTCTTTACTTACAGAGTGGCAAGACTGTGGAGCTGACTCTCACAAAGTGAATAAGATAAGTAATACAGTTTTGATTGCTGAGGACCCAAAACATTAACTTTGATTTTTTCTTCACAGATGCTGCCAGTCCTGCTGAGCTTTTCCAGCAATTTTTGTTTTTGTTCCTGATTTACAGCATCTGCAGTTCTTTTGGTTTTTAAAAAGTAATATAGATGTGTTGAAGGGGACATTAGATAATCCAATATAAAAAGGTACCCAGGGTTTTGTTTATAGTTATGTAGGCAAATTTGGGAGGAATCTCAAGTGCCGCATAACTCTGAACTGACTTGTCGGGCCAAATGGCATGTTTCTGTGCCATATTCCCTGAAAAGCTCTAAGATACATCAGTTACTTACAAGTTTAAGGGATAAAGGTAACACCCAGTGTTAGGTATTTAATTTGTGTGGATTCAAATGATTTTCAACAGGGAAGCAATTCTGCTGTTGCAACAAGTCTCAAGGCTGTTGATTGGGTAAAGAAAGAAAAACAAGCAGAATTCTCCCCCTCAACCATTTTCCATGACTCACGTATGGGTGTACCCATATCAAATGACATATGACATCAAGCAAGAATTTGGTTGTGATAACTAGGAAGAATAAACTAAATGCTCAATTATCAAGGTCACGTGAAAATGTGCAGGACGTCATCATGTACCAACCTGCAGTCAGTTTCCATACTTGCCAATGAAATCCAGCTCGATCACATCTTAACTATTGCATTGCTGATGTTTTGTCAAGCTACATGCCTTGTTTTCAGTATTTGATGAACCCTACCTAAGCAGTCGGAAGCTATCAGATAAAAATAGTCTTTGCCACCAACTCCATCCTTCTCCCGAGCCATTTTCTCAGTTGGACTAGATTGCTCAAAACCTTGGCAATTAATTGAATTGCAAGCTGAACTTTCCACCTTTCATCACAAACATTGCCTGCTTCTATTCTGTTAACATCTTCCATCTCCCCTCACTTGTTCCAGCCAACTTCCTTATTCCAGCACTTGTTTAATGAGCCCTCTCAATCTTCACCATACAAAACCTTCAGCTCATCTAAAACTCTGCAGCCCATAACATATTGTAAAACAAGCTTCAGATCACTATGAAATATTTCCCTTCTTATCTCAGTAACCTTTGCTTTACATATACCTCTGCAAGGTGCTTTGGGAGATTATAGCAATAAAAATGCAAACTTTTGTCACTCATTGCAAGAGGTTGCATGTGTTGCTGCAGGATAGAAACGTAGAAAATTAGGTGCAGGAATAGACCATTCGGCCCTTTGAGCCTGCATCATCATTCAATATGATCATGGCTGATCATGCAATTTCAGCATCCCATTCCCACTTTCTCTCCATACTCCTTGATCCCTTTAGCCACAAGGGCCACGTCCAGCTCTCTCTTGAACATAGCTAATGAATTGGCCCCAACAGCTTCCTGTGGGAGAGAATTCCACAGGTTTACAACTGTCCGAGTGAAGAAATTCTTCCTCATCTCGGTCCTGAATGGCTGACCCCTTATTCTTAGATTGTGAACCCTTGCTCTGGACTCCCCCAACATTGGGAACATTCTTCCCGCATTAAGCCTGTCCAGACCCATCAGGATTTTATATGTTTCTATGAGACACACCCGCATTCTTCTAAATTCCAGCAAATACAAGCCCAGTCAACAGAGTCTTTCCTCGTACGTCAGTCCTGCCATCCCAGGAATTGTCTGGTGAACCTTCGCTGGCCTCCCTCGAAAGCAAGAATGTCCTTCCTCAGACCAGGAGACCAAAACTGCACATAATACTCACCAAGGCCCTGTATAACTGCAGCAAGACGTCCTTACTCCGATACTCAAATCCTCTCGCTACGAAGGCCAGCATGCCATTAGCTTTCCTCATTGCCTGCTGCACCTGCATGCCAACCTTCAGCGACTGTTCCACCATGACACCCAGGACACGTTGCACCCCACCTTTTCCTAAACTGCCACCATTCAGATAATAATCTGCCTTTTTTTTTTGACCAAAACAATAGCCTCACAGTTACCCACATTATATTGTATTTGCCAAATATTTTGCCCACTCAGCCAGCCTCTAACCCTGCAGCCTCTTAGCATCCTCCTCACAGCACACACTGCCACCCAGCTTACTGTTATCTGCAGATTTGGAGATACAGCATTAAATTCCATTGTCCAAATCAATAATGTATATTGTGAACAGCTGGGTCCCAGCACTGAACTCTACAGCACCCCACTGGTCACTGCCTGCCTCTCTGAAAAGGACCCGCTTACTCCTACTCTCTGCTTCCTGTCTGCCAACGAGTTATCAATCCATGTCAATGTATTATTTCCGATACCATGAGCTGTAATTTTCCTTACTAATCTCTCGTGTGGAACCTTGTCAAAAAAGTGTTTTGAAAGTCCGGACACACAACAACTACTGATTCACCCCCTGTTCACTCTACTGGTCACATCCTCAAAAAATTCCAGAAGATTTGTTAAGTACGAGTTCCCTTTAGAGAATCCATGCTGACCCGGAACGATTCTGTTACTGCTTTCCAAATGCTCAGTTATTACATCCTTAATAATTGACTCCAGCATTTTCCCCACCACAGATGTCAGGCTAACCGGCCTATAATTCCCCATTTTCTCTCTCCCTCCTTTTTTAAAAAAAGAGTGGGGTTACATTAGCTACCCTCCAGTCCATTGGAACTCTTCCAGATCTACAGAATGCTTTAAAAATGATCACCAACTTGCTATTCCTAGGGCCACTTCCTTAAGTACCCTGGGATGCAGAGCATCAGCTCCCGGGGACTATCGGGTTTTAATCCAGTCAATTACCCCAATACCATTTCCTGACTAATAAGGATTTCCTTCAGTTCCTCCTTCATGCTAAGCCCTCTGTCCCCTAAGATTTCCTGAAGGTTATTTGTGTCCTCATTAGTGAAGACAGATCCAAAGTATTTGTTCAACTGGTCTGCCATCTCTGTCATCCATTACGAATTTACCTGATTCTAACTGTAAGAGATCTACATTTGTCTTCACCAGTCTTTTTCTCATCACATATCTATAGAAGCTTTGGCAGTCAGTTTTTAAGTTTTCCACAAGTTTACTTCCATATTCTATTTTTCTTTTCCGAATTATAACCTTTGTCCTCCTCTGCTGAACTTTAAATTTTTCCCAGTCCTCGGGTTTGCTGCTTTTTCTGGCCAACTTATATGCGCCCTCTTTGGCTTTAACACTGCTCCTAATTTCCCTTGTTAGCCATGGTTGAGCCACCTTCTCTGTTTTACTCTCATGCCAGATAGGGATGTACAATTGTTGAAGTTCATCCATGTACTCTTTAAATGTCTGCCATTGTCTTATCCATCGTCAACTCCTTAAGTATCCTTGGCCAGTTTATCCTAGCCAATGCGTGCCTCATACCATCAAGGTTAGCTTTAGGCTCAGGACCCTAGTTTCAGATTTAATTGTGTTACTTTCCATCTTAATGAAGAATTCTACCATATTATGGTCAATCTTCCCCTCAGGATCTTGCACCACAATGTTGCTAATTAATCCTCTCTCATTTCATAGTATCCAGTCGAGTATGGCTTGCTGTCTAGTTAGTTCCTCGGCATATTTGTCAAGGAGACCATCCCTCATACATTCCACGAAATCCTCCTCCATCACATTGCTACCAGTTTGGTTTGTCCAATTAATATGTAG